TTTATTTTCAAAACCTTTTTTTAAAAAATTTTTATCCTGTTTAACAGTTTTGCTTTTAATATTTCTTACCTTCCGCGTAAACGAATTGGGTTCTGTTTCGTAGATCTTAGTTTTGAATTTTTTGTCTTTACAAACCTGAATTTTATTTTTACACTTTTCCTAAGTTTTCTTTAAAAAATCATACTCAATTAATTTCTTGCTTCTAATATTTATCCCTAATACCTTTTCAATTCTCTTATATAAATTTTCCAACATTCAAATTAAATACTTTTTGTTAATTTTTTAAAGAAAATACCATACCACTAGCATTTTTATACATGTGAGATGTAATAGATTTATTTTTTTAATTCATACTTATTTTTTTATGTATGCATGGTTGTTAGCCGATGTTCTCACATATTGTTACGGAAATGCAACTGTAAGGGACGTCCTGTATCCATTTCCCCCGACATGATATAGACTCTGTTATGTGCACTTCGGTAACGAGACGACGGAAACTTGGCTAACTTTCTTGCGTATTTAAAAAAGAATAAATTTAAAAAGCAATTTTGTTATATAACATACATGTCGAAATGTTATTGTTCTTGAAATTTTCCTAAATATTTTTTTTAAATTACTTAAACACAATTTGGAAAATTTTTATAAACGAATTAAAAACGTATAATTGAAAAGTATTAGAAGCAAAAAAAAAAAATGTTTAGCATGAAATTAAAAAAAAAAAATTAGGAAAACGTTAAAAATTTTAAAAAGAAAATATTCAGTTTCGTAAAGACAAAAAATTACGAAAAAATCACATTTGCGTATGAGAAAATATAAAATATTAAAAAAAAAATGTGAAGCAAAATGGAAAAGGGCAAAAATAAAATTCGCGTTTTCAAAAATGAAAAACAATCATGTAAAAAATAATCTTTTATTTTAAAGGGGAAAATATGAAAAGAAATATAATACTGTTAAATTTTAATTGAAATTGTCGTGTAAAATTTATTAAAAATAAGGAAGGTTCAGTATGTTAATATATTTAGATCGATTGAATTAAATTAAAATAAATAATAACAATTATTATTATTGATGATTCATTGAAACAGGCTGACTTCGTCAGGTCATATTTAACTTTCTTCATTAGATCTTTCAATAATTAGGAACTACTGATTAGAGGTTTTTCTTTTAGACTATATGAGAGATTATTTATTTAAAATTCTTATATATAATTTTATTTAAAATTAATAAATTTATATATAATTTTATATATTATTATTTCAAAATCTAGATAAAACTCACGTTATGTTTTTATACATTATTAGAAAAATAAGCCAAAAAATAACATAAAAAATTACTATAGTATTCTTCTTTTCCTAAATATATATTTAAAAAATGAACTTACAATATGCCCATATCTGGTTAAGATTTTTTATGAATCATGGCGGCGTAAAAATTAGGAACTGAACTTTTTCCTTACAGTATTTTATTCTTGTGCTATTAAAAGCAACCATTTTTGGCTAAATATCATAAGTGTTTGCTTGTAAATATTTAATAAAACACAATTTACTCAACAAAAACTATAAACTCTACTTGTTTGTAAGTCGCTTACCAGTTCACGAGGTGAGTAAGGTTGTTGAAGAAAGCAGGCTGACAAACTTGGCGATTAAATTTCGTACTAATTAATACTTCTGATTGGTCTTAGAAACAAAGAAATAATATTATTAGCTTCAAAACATAGGCTTGCCTTACTGAAATTCCAGCATCTATTATTATATGACGAATAATAAAACCTTGTAATGGTCACAAAAGAATATGGTACAAAATGGCAGCGACATTTAGTACTGGAAGTAAATTATTTTTTAACTATTTTTGACTGAAAGAAGGAAATCAAAAAACAAGAAGACAACATTAAATAATCTTCATAATAAATTGCCTTTTGAAATTAAAATGCCCTGTTATCAAAAGAATAGTTGCCAGAAACTATATGCAAAAATTTAACAAAGGAATTATTTAATTATGAAATGTTTAAATCTCACTTCTTAATTTATTCGTCGTAGATTGTTCTCCTATAAGTTTTCGAACAGTGCAATCATTATGTAATAAGATTAAAGATTAAATATGATAGTTAACGCCAGCTTTTTTTAAGGAAAATTTTAATAAACTGTGGGGTTCCAACCTTAATATAACAGCTAAGTGTGTAGGAACTTCGTGAACTGGTAAGCGAATAATCGCTTTAGTTGGGAAATCGAGACGTAAACTCAAGAAGAGTTAATTACCCTTTATTTCTCAAAATAAGAATTTCATAGTCGGCTCCTTTCTTAGAGCTTACAGAAAAGCCTTAGGCTTAAACTCAAGAGTACTAAAAAATAAAGCTTAACTAAAAGATATAGCCGAAGCTATCAAAATTCTACATAGCTCCTATATATCAACTAAATTGGCGAAGCTATAAAGGGCCTGAAATATCGCCGAGCGTAGTAATAGCTTAGAGAGAGTGTAGCCATAACACAAACGCGGCTCTCAGAATCGCTGGCTCTCAAATGAAGGCAGTGGAACTTCGACTTAAATACTGCTCTTCCTCATTTGCATTAACCCCGATTCTAAAATCTCATTCTGGTGAGAAATTGTGAGCTGAAAATAGGAGAGGTAGGAAAGTAGCTTTAACTAAAGATAATTGTTAAAGACTTAGGATAAACCTTACAAAACGTTTAGGGAATTTGATTTTTATTAAGGTATCTTTTATTAAAATTAATTTTTCTTTTAAATAAGAATTTCCTGCATACATTTTTAATGCTATTTAATATCTATCGCAAATTGTATTACCTATAACGGTTCTGGAAATATTAGACTGCTATTTAATTCATTTTTTACCTTCAAATTTAAATTTCCTTCTCTTACCATAATAAAGTTTAATTTTATAATAATCAAGTATGTGGAAATCTAGATATTCTATTTCTTTTTGTCCTGTGCTAATTTTATTTAATACTAGCAAATTTTGAGATTAAAGAAGTGAACTGCTATGATTTTTGAAAATTTTTTCCTGTGTGAAATTGAAAGAATTTTATGACAGTCTGTAGCAGCTACCAAAAATATTTCCTGAGGCACTTAGAACTTTAGCTGAAGATAAATGGAAGGATTTACTTAATTGTGCAATTTTTCGTAACTACATTCAGTTTAAAAATTCCCTATTTCAGTAAATTAACGGTATTTCAGTATGTACCATTTACTCCACCCAAATTTGTAGCCTTATTAATATTATTAGTTATTTCTTCTCTAAAGAATTTCAATGCCAGAAATCACTAGATAGTGCACAATTAATATTTTTTCCAAATACATTCTGGTACATAATTGTAACTAACAATTTTGAATATTCCTAAAATTACAACATTTATTCAACTTGCTTACTCTTAAATAAAACTAATACGGGTAAAAAAGAAATAGAATATTTTGATTTGCACATTATTAATTATATAATTGCCTATTATAAAATTAAATTTTGTGATAAGAGAAAGAAATTTAAATTTGGAACTATAAAATTAATTAACTGACAATCTAAACTTTTCAAAAAAGTTACACCATTTGCAATCAATTATGTAGAACTAAAACAATTTATACAAAAATTTCTTACTTAACAGAAGAAATTATTCTAGTCACAGATACCTTAATTAAAAATAAAATTTCCAAAACATTTATTCATTTTTTCCTTCAAAAATCTGGAATTAACTAACAAATTTAATTTTTAATTTAATAAATAATGATCCCAGTATTCGAAACCTTCTAGGAGAATAATTCAGGGCGAGTAAATTAAAATTGCAGATTTGTATATTAATTTCTATGTATGTACATAGTTTCTGGCAGCTGTTCTTTTAATAACAGGCTATTTTAATTTCAAAAGGCAGTAAAATAGCCAATTTAGCGTGAAGATTATTTGCTGTCTTTCTATTTTTCTATTTCTAACTTTTCACCAGAAATAATTTTAAATAATTTACTTCTTATACAATAATTCCTATAATTTACTAACTGTCGCGGCCATTTTGTAACATTTTCTTTTGTGACTACCACGTAGTTTTATTTGCCTTGTAATAGACACAAGAATTTCACTCAGGTAACCCTGTGCTTTTGAAACACATAACATTATTTCCCTCTTTCTAAAACCAATAAGCAGTAATCTTTAATACGAAACTTATTCGGCAATTTTGTCAAATTGCTTTCTCCAATAGCCTTGAACTTATTAACAAGTAAAGTTACAGTTTTGTTAGCCGAATGGTTCATTTTTAATTGCTATAAGTAAACATTTAGTTGAAGGATTTTAGCTTAAAATGGCTTCTTTTAATAGTATAATCATACTACACTCCAAGGGAGAAGTTAAGTTCGTAATTTTCATTCTGCCATTATTCATAAAAAATGTTAGCCAGAAATGGGCATTCTGTAAATCTTAAGCACTTTTTAATTTTGTTTTTTAAATTTAAATTTAGAAATAGAGGAATGCAAATCAGTTATTTATTAATAGAGAAATACTTTGTCATTAACTTATTATGTTTTTGTTGGCTTATTTTGTAATTATTTATACTAATATGACATGATTTTTGTCTAGATTTATCAAATGCTATTCTTATTATGCTTTGTATTTTTAATTTTAATTTACTTCTTTTCGAAAATTTCCTTTGTGTGAACAGTTTTAAATCTGGAAGACGAGTTAACGTACGGGCATTTATCTGGGCAGTTTTAATTAATCAATTAAATTATATTATAATATATGAAATAAGAACATTAGTATCGCAGTAGTAGCGCTATTTAAACCAAGTACATATAATTAAAAATGCTAATGCATTAAATTTAATTGTAGTAAAAGAAATCAGCATTTTAATTTAACAGATAATACTCAAACCGTGAAAGTATAAAGTATTCGTTAGGCAAAGGATTCATAAACTCTTATCTTTGAAAACTGTACTATACAGAAGCTTTTAAGCTCTTTCATACAGTTTCATTTTCTTTGCAATGTATTTGCATTTTTTTTAATACAGGTTCGTCTGGAATGCTGGTCTGGCAGCAGTAATCCTGCGGCTTCTATCTTCTGGTGGAAAGACGACACTCTTCTCAAAGATCAGAACCAAGTCGAGACAACAGACTCTTTTTATGGAGGATCTTCTACACGCAGTCGGCTAAGCTTACCACTTTCTTCTACAGATCACGGAAGTCGATTCACGTGCGAGGCTAAAAACGACGCTTTTCAACGATCTGTTCAAGAGCAGATAACTCTTCATGTTTTGTGTAAGAATAAATTTCGCTGTATTTTGTAAAGCTTTAACGTAACGTAATTATGTGTTATTCCTGAACTATTAGTCCCCATAATAATTCATAAAGCATACTTTTCTTAAACGAATTGCAATTATTTAATGCACCGTGTTTCAGCGCATCTGTGGCTGACGCAGAACTTGCATTCCCCGTTTAAGGGGAAGGGGATATCCCGAGTTTTAATCAGCTGATTAGTCTGAACTTTTCGCTTAAGAAGAATGCGAAACGGTGAATTCATTATTTAACAGTAAATTGTTTCCCTTGAAAGTGATAAATAAATCAATTTAGGAAATCCTCAGATATAATATTTCTCTTTCCCGCCGTTTAATCTGATTCATTTAAGCGCTTTATTGTTTACTTTTATTAAAGCTGTGAAGAATCAAACCACTTCCAACGGTAAGCTGTTCAAGCGTTTTATATTTTCAACGATGACAGAATAAGTATAATTATTAAATTTCGTTTAAATCTTCACTTCATGATTAGGAATTTTGTTTCAGCGCATTTCCAAATCAATAGGTTGCTACTGCTGATATACTATAAAAGTTGTGAAACTTTTTTAATAATTTTTAATGTCATGAAAATACTTATTCTGCCGATTTTGGTTGTAAATGATGTTATTGTTTTGTTAAATAACTTTTACTCTAAGCCACAGACACACTTTTCTGTATTCTTTTAGCAGTCATTCAGTTACCTGAAATGTCCCTTTATCTTTGATTTCCATCCGTTTCCTTATCAAGGAAATAATTCTTTTCCGAAATTAATATCGTCATTGATTGAAACTTACAGATTCTATGCATTCAGCCAGTAAAATTCTGATTTTTTTTTAATTTCGCATTTCACGTATATTAGTTCACAGCATAAAATAAGTACGCTTCTGATATAAGTTTAGTTTCTTTCAGATTTTATAAATTCGTGTAAATTACATGGTATTTAATAAATGTGTGTTTAATTTTTATCATTATCTCTTATACAAGAATACGATGTCAATCAAAGAGGAAAGTGTCTATTGAAGGTAGTATGAATAACGAAAAAAAAAAAAAAAACTGAAAAAATACAATGTTCGATTTTCCAATATTAGACCGCGAAACTTATTCTAATGTAAATTATGATTCTATTTCTTACCCAATAAATCTTTTTCCTTTATTTAATCTCTTTGATTTATGCAACTAGAAGTTAATATAGAAAGAATTTATAATTTTCAGTAGGTAAATTACTCATGCAGGCAAACAAGCATTACTAAAATATGTTAAGTGTTGATGTCTATGAAATACAGTCCAGTTTAAATTATGATTATATCAGTTATATATTAATAGACAGCGCATCTAAAAGTGAATAAAGGGGGCGGCTGATAATTTGTGGCACATTATTTGTTAGAACTATTTAATGGGAATGAAACTGTGTGACGGCATATTATCGTGCCATTGAAACCTTAATCATTATGAGGTTTTTCAGTGATACGCTGAATACTCTTCAATAGTCTGGCCATTATATCTTTCCAAAATGTAGAGTTCATCGTCTCTCCCTGAATATTCCTCGTGAATTAACCTACACTATACAAGCTTTGCAAGTCTGTAAAACAACGGCACATTCATGCAGCTACTTGATTCGTTTGTAGAACTTCCCAACAAAAAACTTGTCACTAAAGTGGTCTTTACCCGAGTTTGATGGAAATGAAATTTCTCTAGTCGTGTCGATCCTTCTCCAACCCAAGCAGGTGATTGCCGTTTCGTCTTAATCATAATGAAAGCACCATGTTTTATTTCCAGTCACAATTTCTTTGAAACAATCAAGATGAATTTCTACAACACAGAAAAACTTCATTGCTAATTTTTGATCAGTCTTCGAATCTATGGCAGCAGAGGTTCGCTGATCCAAAGCAAGCAATTAGCTGCGCAGAAATGTCTGTCTATATAATATGTCCGTTTAGGAGAAACCAGTTCATATTTCATGGTAATAAACACTGTCCTTTATGATTTGTTGGAATTTGTAAAAAATATTAGTCTTAAGACTTTCCAGACGCTTTGTGTTTGCGAAGAGCAAAGACTAATTTGCAATTTCGATAACATCTTTTCCACAGTTTCAAAAAATTAAAAAAGCGTGCGAATTATTTGGGTTACTTCTCTAAATATAATTAAGATACAATAACACGCCGAAGAAATACTAATTCAGAAGTCAAACAACAAAAATCAGCGTTACTTTTGCGCTTTTGCAGCTGACAATGGTGGTTCGGTAAAACCATCGAAACTAGTCCTGTGAAAATTTGAAAATATTACGCTGATTTTTGTTGTTTGACTTCTGAATTAGTTCTTTGAACGTGTTTTACACGTTCTAGAGTACTACTGTCTTCTTTTGTTGAATATTAATGTTAAAATACAGATGCAATGCATTTTAAGAACTTGTATATCTAATTCTTTACCCTTACTTTAAGAATATCAAGTGTTAAAATGATTTGAAAGGTTATAATTAAGATAAGTACTTAAGGTTTCCTTTTTCCCCTTTAGCGTTCCGGATAGAACACCAGCCGAAAATGAACACTATTTAATACGGAGAGTTATTTAATTCGGAGATTCCTTTCATAAAAACCTGTTTTAACGCAATGAACATTTCGCGATCCGTGTGTTTGAAAAGAAAATCAGTAATTGATAATTATTTGGGCATCCTGAAATGGTAACACATTTTACGTTTCGTTAACTACGCATCTTTAAAATTTATTAACTGCTTTAAACTGCTTTTCTAAAGATGATTAATATACAATAATGCGTAATTAATAGGTGCTGAGTTAGTATAGAAACTGAAATATTCGGCTAATATGTAAAGTTTCTTATCTTTTATATGGAATGTGTATGACTTAAATTTTTCGTTAAAATTCCTTAGAATCAGAGATTATTTTTCCTAAAATAATCGTAGCACATAAAATTTCCAAGCAAATATTTAAATCCTTTCATGTAGTTTACCGCTCGGAGTCATTTAAATATTACTACTTTCAGTAATCTCTCTGTTGCCCTATAAACACTCACATACGCTCCGTTGATTGTCTTTAACCTTCTGTTTATGTCGTGACTCTAGCTTGCTTTCTTCATCGCCTATGCATATAAACATTTTACTGCTTCGAAGTGGCTCACTTTTAAATCAGCAGTTTCTAGTATTTCTCCACATTCACATTTTTCTCGGTTTTAGGTGTTTTTTTTATCTCATTTCCCGATTCTAAACTTTTTTCTTCTACCTTTTAATTGTTTTAGCTCTCTCCATAACATACTTTATCTTGCTGCTACAATTTTATTCGTCATGCTGGTTTCGTTATGACACAAATTAGTCTGCTCTTTGTAGATAGCCTTTTCAGGACTTTTATGCGAAGCATTTTAGGCACTACAGCTGTTATATTTTCTTTTATAAAGCATAAGTAAATTCAAAGTTACGAGTTCAATACCTTTGTTTAGTGCATTTCTATAAATTTCTATATCAGGGATTCTGGGATATAAACAGCGATATCTAACTCTCAATGATAAAAACAAAAATGTACCTCTCAGAATGTTTAATTAACTGATTGATACATAGTTCTTTTTCAGCGATCAGGAATATAAATCTATCACTTAAACCAGAAGATTGGTTTTTCATGTAGAAGATGAGTAGGAGAATAATGTTTCATAAAATAAAGTGTAAAATTAGAATAAAATTTTGAGATTATTTTTTCAAAAATCTGTCCCCCTTGAAAATAAAATGTATTCAGATCTTTAGACTGAAACCGAAATAAAAGATAATAGTAGCAATAAAGATAAATGCTAAAGATTACCAAAACTGAGGAGTAGACTACAAAATTCAATTAAAAGTAATTACTCTAAATTACAGGCGAAGAAGTCAACACGGAAAATATGTAACGAAATAAAAGAGAAGAAGTATTAGAAAGATTTCTACTGAAAATCTTTCTAATACTTCTTCTCTTTTATTTCGTTACATAAAACATAAATACAATGCATGCAATATGTGAATTATCTCATACTGTAAAATTCTGGGATATGAAATTAAAATAATTAATTATCACTTACACTGGAATTATGAAATAAATGATTTACCTAAATCTCAATTACGAGTACATGCATATATATATATATAACACAAATAAATTGAACAAATTTATTATCTTTAAGGAGCAGCAAATATGTAATATTGTAAACTAATAAATCGAAATTTTCATAAAATTCTGGATGCTTTTAAGGTTGTTTAAAGTTCATAAAAGTTCATAAAAGTTCTTTTAAGGTTCATAAAATTCTGGATTCTCTTAATTGCTACGAACACTCTCGGTTACATTTTCCGAAGTGATCTTATACGTGTCTCAAATATGTATGATAATTTAGAGACTGATAGCGTGAAACATAAAGCAGCATTTCGCGACATCTCTGAAATAAATATCAGATTCAGAATGATTTTCAGTTTTAATTAATTTTATTTTGATTGGCCTATATTAAGGTTCAGTTTGAAAAGGGAAAACAACGAAATTAAAGTGGATGGTTAAGAGACTATTGAAAATTAAGAATATTATTTTATTTTTACCTATTATTTGTATCTCATACAAAGAAACACACAGAGATATATATGCTATATATATGTGAGAGAGAGAGTTTTTGTATAATTCAGTATGCTGTAGGTTTCCTCCTTTTTATTCTACTAAACTAAGTGTTAAGGAACCTAGTGAACTAAACGAATAATCGCTTAAGTCCAAGAACAGAAATTTTAACTCAAAGAAGGGTTAATTACCTTTTATTTGCTCAAACTAAAGATTTACAAATGATCCCCTTCTCAGGGCGTACAGTAAAACCTCCACTTGGGCTTAAAATGTAAGAAATAAGAATTAACTAATGATTAACTAAAGAGATTTAGAAGAAGCTAATATACTTCTAAACTAGTAGGCCAGTGATATCACCTTTAGCCAACGAAGCTATCAAAAGGCACGTCAAAGAGACGTAACGAAAAGGCAAACG